TATTTGAATTAAAAGTCAGTCATCTCAGCTGTTGAATTACAAAGACATAGGACCTAAGAACTGTTCTCCAAAGATGGAAAAGTAAGATACATCTATATGTATATAGATACAATTTGGGCTTTTTGATAGTTATGATTAATAATTTAAAATGTAATTCAAATAGCTTTACTTGAAAGGCAGAATAAATTTCCATAAATATAATGGCCAAGATAGCTGATAGTTTTAACGGTGTGTATCTGTATAATTAGTTAAATTATACCTAAACTTCAGTTACAGTAATTATAGTTTAACCTTGATTTTTTATAATGTTAATTTTGCTTTAGTATGCATGGAATTGAACGTGCAGTTATGAGTACAGTGGAATGTCTAACTACTTCAGCAATTTGTAAGTTTATATTTCATTCTGACTAAATAATGGAATTTATCTCTGCAGAAGACATTGTAAGTAGAATATATATAATTGCCTTTATTTTAACTGCATTCAGATACTGCAGAAAGAGCATACAAAAACAAATGAAAATGTGCAGCTTAGTCAACAGAAACAATTTTTCATAAACAGCCAAACAGCTCATATTGGTGGTATTAAGTTACCTTGAAATTGAGGTCGTGCATATGAATGTCGACCCACAGCTTCCTAAGCTATATTGTTAGTAACCACTGTGACAAATAAGAAGCAAATCCAGTCTCTGCAATAATTAGCCTTGTTTTCTGGAAGCTGCAGGTCCAGTTCACGTTGCAGAAAGGAACAGGTTTCATCCAAGATTTCTCACAATTTCTAGTACTCTTTTTTTTCTATTCAGTGCAAACAAAAGCTCAAGTCACCCCAGGGTAGTTCTCATGGCTGGAATCAGATTTCAGCAGTGTTAAAACACACAAAAAATGAATGGAAGTAAATGTCTTAGAAAAATCTGCAAAGGAATTAATTTAAATGGAAATTTTATCCAGTCAGAGTTTAGTTTATTATCCCCTGTACCTTGCAAGGCTGACGAATGTCTTTCATCATTAACACAAAACTTTGAAAGGTTAGCAATCCAAACTTACAGAAACCTCCTTTTTTTTTTTTTTTCTAGAAGGATTCACAACGATTTATCACAATTTTCACGGAAAAAAATGGAAACCAAAGTATTTAGAAAAGATTGGAATACAATATTTTAGAGGCTTCAAGAGCTTCCCTCAGCTTTTTTTCTTAAGAATGATGTATTTACTGTTGACCTTTTCAGGAAGTATAATAAAAATGTAGTTTTGCAAGTGTAAATCTTTATTTAATGTATAAAGTATTCCGGACACATTCTGTTCGTTTCATCTGTTGCAGCTGTTTCACTTTACAAGAGGAATTAAATACTAAATTGATGTATTGACTAAGCTTAATAATATATTCTAAAAACAAATCTTCAGGAAGGAAATGTGGACCATGTCTGAACTTGGTCAAGATACGTAATCAAAGTAACTAAAAAGATCTGAAGATAACCTATACTAAATGTTTTCATAATGATGCAGGAAGTCTTGTATTTGTCTGACTTTCAGACTGTAGTTTTTAGGTATTACGTTAGGATTCATAGTGTCTACTGTCCTATTCATAGTGTCCTACTGTCCGAAAGGCGGAGAGAAATTGGAATCTGAAGTTATATGTTCTGTATCTTTAAAATTAACTTTTCTCCTCCTGTCTCTCATGTTGTTTACATTAATGGCCTAAAGAGAAATGCTATCATGCTGACAATAAAAGGGCAGAAGACAATTGCTTGTTTTTCTCTGAGCCGAGAAAATGATTTTTCATTTTGCTGCAAGATAATCTACAGTTCAGAAAATATAAGAACACATATTTCCAATTCAATTCTGATATTACACATTAGGATGCTTGCTAAAGAAGGATGTAATTAATGTACTGAGCAGCATCATTTTTTTAATGTCATTTACAGCATATCATTTAGGGAAAATGTTTTCTGGTATTATGCTGTAACTACTTGAAATGCTCTTTTCATTTTGGGTTGGAAGAGACCTAGTTTCAACCCTCCTGCTATAGGAAGGGACACCTCCCTCTAGACCAGGTTGCTCAAAGCCCCGTTCAGCCTGGCCTTGAATGCACCCAGGATGGGGGCATCCACAACCTCGCTGGGCAACTTGTTCCAGTGTCTCACCACCTTGACAGTAAATAATTTGAGTCTGAATCTTCTCTCTCCCAGTTTATAGCCATTTCCCCTCATCCTGTCACTATGTGCCCTTATAAAATGTCCCTCCCCAGCTTTCCTATAGGCTCACTTCAGGTTCTGGAAGGCTGCTATAAGGTCCCTGTGTAGCCTTCTCTTCTCCAGGCTGAAAAGCCCCAAGACTCTCCATCATTCCATGTAGGTAATGTGCTCCAGCCCCTCCGATCATCTTTGTGGAGGTCCAGAGGAGCTCAATGTCCTTCTTGTGTTGGTGGCCCCAGAACTGAATGCTATATGCCAAATGGGTCTCTTGAGAGCAGAGTAGAGGGACAGAATCCCTTCTTTTGAACTGCTTGTTGATCCTTTCTTTTTTTTTTTGGACATTTACTCAGTGATATTGCTGAGGACAGAATAGGAGTTGTACTGTACCTACAGAAAAAGTTTCAATAAAAAGCTAGAATCTATATGTGGCTTTTTTTTTTTCCTTCTGTTCATGCTGCTTTCTGTAATATATAGGCAGGCATCTAGAGATGGAAAAACGTTAGGTCCATGAGTTCATTAGTGGATAAGTTAGAATTTCTTTATTAATGGGAATGTTCTAAGTGTTCAAGGTCAGCACTAATAGATGCAGTTGTAAGATAATGACCAAGCAAAGTAAGAGTATTAAATGATGTATTGTCACTGTATTCTTCTTTATGAAAACTAAAGGTTGCTGAGTGGGATCTTGTTCATTATAGGCTGTATGCACCTTATAGGAAGCACAGCACTAAACTCGTATCTGTGTAATTAGCAATGGGGACTCTGAAGTGTTTTTATTTTCTGATGCAAACTGAGTAACTATTGCCTAATCAAGTTCTAGCTAAAGGACATCAGGCATCTGTTATTTTTTGCAACCATGCACACTAATTTTTTGTTCTTTGTGGTACGGATCCATTCTGGAGTACATGTATCTATCCATACAGAAACTTCGTGCTGAGTAAATGTCCCTGAATTTACCCCTGTGTGATTTGCTCTCTTGTGACTGAACTTGGCATATTACCAGAATTAGTTCTTAGTTCTCCAAGGAGAGTAGCTGCAGCAAAAAGAAAGTATTGTTACTGTGCCTGAATCTTTCTAGTATAGCAAAATTTATACAGTTCACTCTATTTAGTAGAATCTTGACAGCATTTTACTGTAGTTTTGTAATATTAAAATTCATTAAATGAAGAATCCACAGCTTCTGTCAGGTTATGCAGAAAAATCATCATTATTGAATCCATATCTTAAGGTAAATTTGACCTTAAAAAACTCGTATGTTTTGATTATTTTATTTAGGTATAGCTAGAACCTGAGCTGGGAGAAAAATTTATATATACCTCATTTAAAATAATTTGTAAGTAGTTATAGATTAATGATAAAATACACTCCCGTACCCTTCCACTTCCCTTTTTCTTTTTTTTTTTTTTTCTCCCTTCTATTTCTTTGTCTAGCGAGATGTCTGCAGGCAGATAGTTAACTTCTTTGGCACCATCCAAAGTTGCATATGTACTAAAATTTTACATCTTTGCTATTAAGAGCAAAAGCCCATTCTAATTAGTAACCAGCAAGGTTTATCACAATCATGATAAGTTGTCTTTTGACAGGATTAAAATACCTTTATGGTGTGATTCATCAAGTAAAATTCAGTGTCTGTTTTCTTTTTTCTTTTTTCTTTTTTTTTCTTTTTTCTTTTTTCTCTCCCTCTCCCTCTCCCTCTCTCTTTTTCTTTTTTTTTTCTTTTTCTTTTCCTTTTCCTTTTCCTTTTCCTTTTCCTTTTCCTTTTCCTTTT